GAGAGAAAATGAAGACAGCCATTATAACGTTATATCCACCCCAGCTGGTTTCCCCTGCTGAGGCCTCAAAAAAGGCCCCCAAAAAATTATCTTCTGTGGCCTGTAGAGTAGCTTAGCAAACATGTAGTTTATTGTCCAAGAGAATTAGTGTGCAGAGGGTACTACACAGAAAACTAATCCATTTAGAAAAGTGACAAAATGGAACAAATTTACTAAATCAAGTTTGTTCTACTGGTGTTATCAACCTCTTCACCTACTTATATAGATGACCCCGACTGAACCCAACGGATTTTCTACAGTAAATTAACTGTTTTTCATGGAAAGGCATTTTATCAACTATGAAATCAGGCTCAGCTCCGCATTAAAAACATGCACAGCAGCTGGTAACAGCCTGAAGACGCCCCTGAAAAATGCACAGTGACTTATTCAATTAAGACTCAAGTACAGTTTGATGATGTCCAAATGCTCAGTCTGGTACAAGAGGACATGGTGCCATCTAAGTTATTTTTACAAAAAACAGTGCTCCAAACAGACCAGCATTACTGTAATTGTGTTCTGTCTTAGGAAGAAATAGACTGAGCCGTCCCTATCACCACGTAAGTCAGTGTGATTGTACACATTTAACACTTTAAGGACATACAGTAATTACTTGATAGAAACAAGTTTTTAAATACACATTTTTTATTTACACTCATGTTGGTTCATTGCGAAAAGAAGTGCAGGCTAGCTGCTTGTATGAATCACACCAGCTGATCAACATCCTATGAATCTCAATAATTCAGGATTTCTCCATTAAACTCAGCAGGTCACGAGTGCAAAGTTTATGTCAACAGCTTAATGACAGCCATTCTGTGTACAGAGAGCCAAGGAAAGAGACAAATATTTACTTTATGTAAACTATTGCTGAGCACATTACTTAGAGCAAGAAAGCACTGTTCAACTTGGTTAATAATAAAACCCAGATGTCAATGAGAAACTTGTAAAGCTTCTTTTAGAGCACATAAACATAATACAAACTGCAGAACCACATACATTTAAACAACTTTTTTCTATATATGTTTTTTTTTTTAAAGACATGCACTGATTTAAAAGACAAGAACTGAAAAACACTGATAACTGCCTAGATTGCCTGGAAGAATAAATATGACTTATGCAAGAGGCTGGAACAAGTTGTAGGGAGGACTCTCTCGTTCACACTTCATCAAGGTTAGCATTCAGATTTTATAACTTTAGTTCTGTCCACAATCTGGGTACCAGCATGTTCAGGACTGTGTTCTGAACACCTTCTGTTCACTAACTTAATTTGTGGTTGAAGATGCAAAGCAACATGGAAAAACCAGACAGGGTAATCGAGGTAAATCAAGATATATTATCAGGTGTAATTAAAAGCCAAGTACAGGCACCACAAGGTAATACCAGATAGAATAAGACAGACTACACTTTTATATACAAATAGATACATGCTTAATTGAACAAAGGAGAAGTGATGAAGTAATTTATTAAGATACCACCATATCTTTGACCCTCCCACACAAAGAAGAAGAATAGGGTACTATATTTGCCCAATTTTCATGAACACATGAGAAAAAGTGCTCCATAGGTCAAATGATACTGGTTTTGGGTGAAGAGGAAGAAAGCATATAATTCCTTACATTTCTGTACATGTGCAATGCTAGCTGCAGTGAAAGGAACTAAAATCTTCCAATAGAGTTACTAAAAATTCAGAATTCTAACTCACATGAACTTCTGAGATTTCAGAACTCCAGTTTCACTCTAAGGCAAGGTATTTCTTAAGAGTTTTGGCAAAACAATGACCAAATCTCATCAATTTGCAGAACATGCAACAGAAATGTAAAATTGTGAATGAAATATTTCAGATTTTTTCTTTACATTCTGTCACAACACATAGCTTGATCTACAAATTACATAACATATAAAAATTTTAACAAGCTAAACAGGCGTCATTTTGACCAAGAAGGTATTTCAGCTGCTACTGTGAGTTAATCACACGTGGTTTTAAATATAAGGTCTTAAATACTCAGTTTTACTTTCTCTCCCACTTTACAATGAAAGCAGTAGTCAGACATTCTAGGACTTGGAAGTGAGGGCAACATTTTTACTGAAACAAAAGTCTCAACATCACACAAGTTGACTAAAAAGTTAAACTAAGACCCAAAAGTTCTCAAACAATTTCAAAGACTGCCATCTGAATTTTCCCCCTATACTTTCCCACCACACTTTCAGTTTGTTTCCTCCCTCTCTATAGGAATTGTCCATAATTATATGATTTCTTCAAGAAGAACAAGACTCGGCCAAAGCACTTTTCCTGATAGGAAACTGATCAAAAGTTTCTAAGTAATCCTTTTAATATCTCTCACAAAGACACGGCAGAGCTCAAGCCCTTTGCTTGGAGGGCTGCTGAAGCTTTTGTTTTCATCTGCACCCTCAACCCCCCTCCACAATTTGGTGCTCCCATGGGAAAAACAAGAAGACTACCTATAAGTGCCTAATCATATACCAGCAAGCAAATTCACTAGACCTTACTGAAGAGGTTGATAGGTGAAAGCAGGGATGACAAACTTTTCTCCTCTAAACTATATGAGGGTCACTGCTTTTTCTAAAGGTTTGTAAGTTACTTCTTCCCCATTCCTCAATGAACGATTTAATCCATGAGCATTTTTCTTGACATTATTTAACCAACTCAAGAACATCTCAAGGTAATTTTTTTTCCCTTTTGCACATAGCCTGTGCAATGGTGCAGCAGAAGGCACCTGCACTGTTCCTCCAAAACCATGTGTACTCATTCCCAGTTACTCTTATTTAAAAGGGAATTTAGAGATATAAGTATGTACTATGGAGAGACAGAGGAGAGGTCAGCCATCAGTAAAGCAGCACAGCAGTATTCAATGAGCTGGAGAATCCTGGAAAGCAGTAATCTTAAAGGAGACAGTGACAAAATGAACACTGGATAAAGCACAAGGATAGCAGTAAAAGGCCTGAATACCAGAGGGTCAATTAATCTCCCTGTGTCTCCAAATATTTTAATCTTAAATACACAATTTATTTCTGTGCACTCTAATACTAAAAGGAACTGTGGGAGAGGAAAAAGAGGTTATTTCTGCAATAGTTATGACTAAAAGATTTGAAGTTAGAAGGAGAATTTATATTATTTGTGTATTTGCAGCACCAGAAAGAGAGGAAGATTATTCCTATTTCTAGCACTTATCAACTGATTTCAGGAGATGCAAACATTTAAAGAAAGCATCAGGAGAATATTGCTTGTAACATAGTCTGGTGTTGTGGAATAGAAACCATGAGATCCCTATTACATCAGGCACTTAAAAATCAGATGTAAAAAAATTTAGTAAACTTTTGGGAACAGGAACTTTTGTATCAACAGCCAAATGATTAGGGAAGAATATTAGGCTAGGATACTCATGCAGGAGCACATTCCCAGAACAGACTCCAAGTATCTGGTGATCTAAGGAGACTTGCATAACCCCACTTGATCTTCACTGATGGCAAGGTTAGGAGTCCTTAAAGCAGTAATAAGATTCTGCAGGTGAAGAAACTGTCCTGCATCAGCAGGGGTTATCTTTCCCACTTCTGACTTCTGATCAGACTTTCACAGCGTAGGTTATTTAAAGAACCAAAGCTTCAGACAATAGAAACTGGCATAAATCCACCAAGAAAGGAATTGTGTGTCAAATAAGTATTTGTTCTTTTTATCACCATGTTTGTAGTTGTAATGAGCTTCTGCTTATTAAGTTTTATGTGCCAAAATTTGGTCCTCTCCTGTCCAGATCTCACTCACTGCACTGTCATTCATCAGCTGAAGAAAAACATTTTTACCTAATGCAACAGATTTATCTCCAATGTATATGCAATTTATTGTATTTCTGTCACTATTCAGACATACATTTACATTTTCCTCATTCTAATAGCTGGTTCCAGTTTGTTTTCTTAATTAATTACTTGTAATACAGCATTACATATTTCTCATCTGCACTTACAGCATTTGTTAGTGATAACTAATCTGTGGCTTTTTCTCCTACTGAAATAATTGCTCAGACCTTTGGCTCTTAGATGTATTATCTATTCTATGACAGTGTAAGTTAAAAAGGAAGAAAACAGTCTGAGTAACATTAAAGTCTTCATCTTAGTATCTACTTCACTTCAATAATTTCTAATGCTCCTCTCACATAGCTGTCTAGAGGTCATTTGCATAGCAAATTCAGACTATTTTTGATAAGATAGTAAAAAAATCTCTTTTTGACATAAGTATCATTACTCATAATGGGAAAGTACTGTATGAAGCTCTTTCACTTTTCTCAGAATTACATGCAAACTTTTAAATCAGTGTTCTCTCTCTTAAGCTAAATTTGAGGCATGTCTTCAATAGATGCTGAAGGATTTGGCTCTGTTACAAGAACATACGATCTGCAATTACAGAAAGGCTTTTCACTGAAAGTCCATAAAGGCTAGGCTGGTAAAACTAAACGTTTAACTCAAGACATCTAAAAATCACAACTTGCTCAGACACTTTCTAGGATAAATCTCTACGCACTGGAACAAGCATCACGTCTGTGTCTGTGCACTCACACCGTGCCTGGCACATTCCTGACATCTCCAGAGTAACACAAGCATCTATCCTAATTGCTTTCTACTACCTTTCTTTGACATGGTACACCCAAAACCATTCCATAGTCTCCATCTCTTTGAAGTACCTTCTGTTGATTATTATACTCTGAAGAAATATTGAGAGAACAGGCATGATAGCCTCTCTTACAGCTGAGGGACCAATGTATTTATTTTCCCATTTCCAGAACAAGTGTCAATTTAAGCTCTTAACTTGCAGCAGCTTCCCTATCTGACATGAAGAACAGTAAGCAGCATAGAAAATGAAGATCTGATACGTAGATCTCTTTCCATATTAGGAAAGCATATCTTAAAATTAACCCCTACTCTCAATTTATAGACATTATTTGGATAATTCTTACCTTCTATGATCTGAGCTGCTGGACCAGCATGGATTGACAAGCCAAAAATCAGTAGCAGCAAGTCCCAGGTCCACCAGGCATGCCTGGAGCAGGTATGCCAAAAAAAAAAAAAGGGGGTGGGGGGTAAGAAAAATGAGACTGAAGAGTGTAATACAGATTCATAAGGGGAAAAAAAGAAAAAGTAAAATTTAGAAGAGAGAGTTCTTACCATGAGAGCATTTTTTGAAAGTCAGTTGAAAGACCTCAAGTGAGGAAAAAGTTCAGTGCACATGAGTTTTACGCTTATGAAAATAAGAAGTTAATAAAAACTGGAGCCTGCTGTTTCTCCTCCAACGTTCAGACACAAGTGGAACAAAGGCAGCTCTCAGGCTCTCTGTGTGACTCACTGCAATTCGGTGCTCCAGCTCTGAAATCTGACTCCGTGGAGACTTTCCTGTCAGACCACTGCCGAAAACTTCCTATTTTATTTATTGATGGACATCCCTTACTGCTGTACATCATCCCAGCGTTGTCATTATCCACTCTTGTCTTTAACTACTGTGTACTCTGACAGATATTAGCATAGTTTCTCCAGCTTCCCCTTCCCCCCCTCCCACGCCCACTCATAACCTCCACTTATTTATCCAGTAAAACATGACCTCCAAGACCCTTCCATTCAGAATTATATAGCCAATGATACGCATTCTTATATGGAATAGGACATTTCTCTGGACATTTTAACCAAACCTTAACAGAAGCAAGTTTTAGGACATGAGCAGGGCAGAGCACTCACAGCTGAATTGCAGCATACACCTGGGAGCCATACTGTCTTACAGATTTTATGTCATCTACAGAGAAATTTCAAACCACACCCTTTCCACTGACAAATTCTCTAATACTCCTATTTGCAAAGATTTACACCCTCCGTGTAGATTAAGAGTGTGTATCTACCTCAGCAGCTGTACATATAAGTGTCTGCTATAGACATCATGTAGCTAAGCATTTCTAATAGTTTCCATTAAAAGTGTTATTTCACCCCTCCCTCTTAACTTCATGAAAAGCCTTTTTTACACATATAGTTCTTCAAAGCCAATTCTTGCTCAAGGAAGAATTTTTGGAAGAATAAACTTGAGATTAATCAGACAATTTTTAAATCATGAGATTTTTAGCAAAGACTGCAATTGTCACTTTTTGACTGGGGCAGGAGGGAGCCTGGAAAGAGTTGCATGTGGAAAGAGATCAGTGGGTTCTTGGTAGATCTAGACTGGTTGGTGCTGAAGATCACTTTAGGAGGTTCAAAACTAAAAATTGATTTACCTAGGATGGTGTGTGGGGGATAGAGAGGAATAAAGTTTTTTGCAGTATTGAAAGGACAATCCCGAGCAATAAACAGAATTAAGAAGAATTTAATTGCACAGTGAATAAAATACTTGAGTTTGGGGTTTTTTTCTTTGTTGACCAATTTGGGGGAAGTTTTTATGATTTTGGTTTTGTTTTTTAATTAAATAAGGAAATAGAGAAGTTAGGGCCTTAAAAGCTAGAATCTTGATTCTGCCCTCCACTCCCTATTAAGCTTGGAAACCACAACAAGTCAGCTCTCTTCAGGTATATTTTCAGCTGAGCCACACACCACCATTATACACTATCCACCCTCTGCTTAATGATAAGACGCAAGAGATCAAACTATATTGTACTTAAGTTTCTTATTATAAACACACAGTGGTTTATCTTCTTCAGAGTATGAAGGATCTCTCTTTTTCTGTTCCATAGTACTATGTCAGGGCTGAAAAACATTTCATCATTCACCTTTTCTGCGTGAGGCTGTCGTCTCTTTCCTTTCTCTGTCCCTAAAATTTCTCCTTTGTTATCACCACAGCAGTGCTGCTTATAGGAACAGTGTTTGCAATATTTGTGGGAATCATTTACCAAAAGCTTTTATTTAATGACTTTATCTAGGACACTAGATATATGTTATCCCAGAAGAAAATACTGGGTTTTTAAGTGTTCTTGTAAAATGTACGTATTTTCAAACCTACGTCACTTCCAATATTTTTCAGGGAAGCTTTAGCAATAGCTATCAAGAGCCATTACTAATCCTGTCATTTTTTTTTTTTTTTAACTCATTTCCTTCTTTAAATAGTAATACTTCTTCCTCTTTATACATAAAATGTTAGAGTCTTACCTGCATAATGCCTCCTGTTGCAGTATAGGTTTTGTCTGGTATATATGGCCAAAACATACATCTGCTTTGATGCCTTAGAGTAATGTATTTAAGAGACAAATGTATGATCAAACTCTAGATTTATAAAATTTAGATGACTATTCTTGAAGGATTTCTTAACATATAAGCTACTAAGATTTCATTAAAAAATAACATTTCTTCTATTGTTTAGAATTTGATGGATTTTTCCTCTGATTTTAGAAAACCCATAGAAAAAATGAAGTAATACCTCTCCTTCTCCCATAGGCAATACACTGTTCATGCAGATGATTTACATTAAATACTGCTGAGGGAGATTTTAGTTTCTGCTGGATATTTTAATATGAATGTCTGGCCAATGTTGAATATTTTTAGTGCTACTGGATAAAGGAAAACAAGTCAAAGCATGTTCTTGACCTCTGCATTCCATTAGTTTTAAATGGGTAGCAGTAGAAGAATCTCTAAGTACAAACAACTTATCACCCTCACTCCTGTAGGGCCTTGAGATTTCTGAGTATCTAGTGTTCATTTGTAGACCTAAACTTACAGAATATTAACAGGGTCTCTATATCTGCTATCTCTCTTTCTCTCTCTCTCTCTCTCTCTCTCTCTCTCTCTCTCTCTCTATCTATCTATCTATCTATCTATCTATCTATCTATCTATCTATCTATCTATCTATGTCTATCTTGTTTCCCACAAGGGCAGTGACATTTGTACACATCCACTCAGTTTTAACCTCACTGTTTGTCTCTTCCTTTTCAAACACAGCAGGACATCTTTGAACATAAGTGTTTCCTTCAGTACTGTCTCCATCTGTCTTCAGCCAAGATGGAGTTTTCCTAATGGTTAAAAATCTCCATTTTCCGGGCAAAAGTTTTGCTTACTTTCCTCAGCTCTGTCAACTGATTGTATTCCTTAGGATTTGAAATGGCAGAGGACAATTCTGCCATCACAGTTCTTACTCATTCACTGAGTTAATCTGGCTGGGTGTTCTTATATTTCTGATAATCTCTGTGTTAAGAAGTTTATCTTTCTTCTCCTGATTGCAACACAAATTTCTTAGCTGCACATTTATAGCCTCTATAATCATAGGATTTAAGAATCATAAGAATATTCTTGTGCAAAATGAGTGTTAAAGAAGCAGTATGCATGAAGGCCTGAGTGAGTTAAGAATCATACTAGAAAAGAATAAAAGATTTCTCTTTTGCCTAGACCTCTCCCGAGCATGTATAAATGTCTGGCATTCACAATATCCACTGACAAGGAGGTCAACTGCTCAGTTATGCCTTTCATAAAGAAGTCATTGCTTCTTTGCTTTCAACCTTGGTCCTGATGATGTTCTTTGATGCCTCCAAGTTCTTGTACTGAATAGGCATCACCTATTCACTGTCCATTCCATTTTCTCCACATTCCTTGTGTTTTCAGAAGCCTCTTTTATATAACCCTTCCAGTTGTCTGCTTTCTGTACTGAGTGTGAACTTACTTGGTCACTTCTTGTACTGCAACCATTCCACATTACTAGTTATTTTTTCAGCTTTTCTCACAGTTTCTGTGTTCTAGTACATCACTTCTGATCTTTGGTGGGGTTGTGGGAATCATAACCGCACGTGATGCAAGTAATCCCAAGAAATCTCTGGTGACATAGCAACATTCTCTGTATTTTTCCTGATGAGGAACACAACTGGTGTACTTCCTTGACTGCAGCTGAGATGACATTTTCATGAAATTCTCATAAGCTCAATAACTTTCACCTAAGAGGTAATTTTATGTGTAACTAGGATTTCTCCTCCCTCTCTCAATAAATTTATGTCACATGGCAGAAATCAATTTATCTACCATTTTATTCTCCAGTCATTCACTCTTAGAAGATCCATCTGTAATTCTTTACAATCTGCCCCTGTCCTTATTAAAAAAACCCTTCACATCATTGGCAAACTTAACTGCCCAGCAGTCACTCAACCGCTTGCCCTCGCTGGGTAAGGCAGGCAGTACAAATCTTTGTTGGATTACAGAAATGACATTTCTCTACAGGGTATGACTGTACATTCTTCACCTTTTTGTCCCTCTTTTAACCAATTGCCCATGCACAGACCTTGCTTCTTGTGCCTTGGCTTCCTGAAAAGCTACTGTCAATCATTCCGAGTACATACTTTAAGTGATGGATTGCTCCAGGATGTATCAATTAGTCCAGAAACTCTGAATGACATTTTGGCTTTGAATATCATCAGCTAACTGTTGCTAAACAGCTACTTTCACAGTGGTGTGATAATACACTTTCACAAGCATAACAAATGTTTTAGCACTGTTTTTCTGCTTTTTCCTCCTTTAAACAACACACCTTCCAAAAAAAAAAAAAAAAAAGGTCTATAAATGCTGTTTTTAATATATACTTATGGACGACTAAGAGTGTACATTTATATACCTGAAGACAGGCTTGTACCATATCGTACAGAAGGGTACAAGTTAAGGTCACAGAGGCAAAGAATTCTGTCATTTTCTAGCTCTTTAGTGTTTCATTTCACATAATTTGAGTGTTTCTGCCACCTCTACCCCTCCCTCACAGTATTATAAAAAGCATTGGAAAAAAAAAAAATTAAATCTTTTACACATCTGGGACTGGATGGCAAAGAAAACAAAGAGGAATCAGAGACTTGTAGCTTGCAGTGGAAACCCTAGGAAGAAAGGAATCTCTCATCAAAACTTACATTGGAAGATGATTTTTAAAAAGGAAGAGGCCAGGTCTGTTGTGCACACAGATGAATACAACAGAGAAAGCGTGCAAAAAGGAGAATAAGATTGAGTGAAAAGCCTGGGACAGGGAAGCTGGGAGAAGTGAGGACAAAGCTAAGAGCGCTGAAAGTGAGTTAGGAAGCAGAAGGAAAAGGGAAGTGTGGGTGTGTTACCTGACACTAGGTGGCAAGGAAAGCAAAAATAAATGTTTAGACCTACATATCTCCCCTCTACAAACTCCAACTCAGTCTTTCGCTAGGCAGCATGACTAGAAGAGGAAAAGCACAGTCATACTTCTGCTATAAGTAAGCATCCATGAAACCCACTAGCAAAGCATGTCTTGCACAATACTCTAATCATTTGAGTGGTATATGCTGTGAATCAGGCTATTCCAGTACTTCTGATGGCACATGTGAGTGTCAGTATGACCCTATCTAATTTTAAGTTTGTGTTCCAAAATGCAAAAATATTAGAGCTATTATTTGATGGGGTCACAAAAATTATCATTTCCAGAAAAGGCTGAACTGTTTCTGATGAAGTCTATGGTATTGGCATGAGACACAAAGTCAGAATTCAAAATGGTCAGTGTTCAGAAACTGAGCAAACAATTG